ATGAAAAAAGTCCTAAAATAGGCCATTCATTGAAGGTGCGCCTTATAGTGCGGAAAATACGGTAATCACAAAATAATTCACTTAAGATATACTAGTAAGTATGTTTATTGCATGTAACCCATATAAAAGTATGCTGAGTATAACTTTAGTTGTTCCAAAAAAACATATAATGGTAAACTTAGTATACTTTAAATTGTGATTTTCTACAATTTAATTACTATTAAAACACACTAAGCACATAATTATTTGTTCCAAAATAACACACTTCCAGTTAACCAATCCTAAGCCAACTTTAAGTATACTCATTAGTCTGACTTAAAGTATGCCAAAACTTTATATACTTACTATATTAATTCTTCAACTGGGCAGTTGGACCAGCAGACTGAACCCTGCCTGTGCCCGGTGTTGGCAGTATAAATAAATGCGTATTTTAATGTACACTTTTTTTTTCTTTCACTTTTTGTTTGCTTTTATGTTTATAATACACTCCAGTGTGTCTTCATCAATGTGGATATAAAAAGGATTGATCAGAATCAGCTGTACCAAATATAAACACTGTGCTCTTTAAACAATTAAATAATCACATCAAAAAGTTAGAAAATTGTCTTTAGTTTCTTATTTAATTCCCAAATACATTAATGTGTGTGACAAAAATGTGTCAATGACAGGTATTAACTTAAAATACTTTGTACAACGAGGCTTTATAAAGTTCGGTCCATTTACTTGTATTACCTTACCGGCACATATTCCACATTCAATATGGCGGACGCTGTGACGTATCGCAGCAACGGGCCGACCATGAGGGGTCTGCGTGTTCATGTCTGTGGTCCAACTGCTCAGCTACTTTCTGCTCCACAGACTGACGAACTGTGTTCAGATTCCTTTCGATAAGAACCATGAACCGTTTCTACTGCTGCGGACTGGATAGAAAAACCGTCACGATATCATCAACGCCCCAGTTCACCCCACCCAACGGCGCTGCGGTTCTTTAACCCTAACACACTCTTGAAATCATTAAAATACTCAAACGTAGAAGGAAAACAGATTATTATTGTTTGGAGCATTTTATCTTAAATTTTTTGCTGTATGAAGGAATTTATGCCAAGCTGAACATTTTTACTGGAACTTCAAGTTTCTCGAACACCGGAGATTTTAGAGGCTTCAAAAGCTTTAAAAGTTTAAGACCTCGGCTCCAGTGGTTTGTTCTGACCCAGTTCCTCCTGGGTCAGAACAAACCCAGGACTCTGGCCAGTTCGCAGAGTTCGCGACAGTTTCCTATCTTTCTCTTGGTCATCTGTCGGACCGGCGCAGGTGAGTGCGCGGCGCGCCCCGCAGCAACTCTTTACGCACGGCTCAGCAGGTTTACGCGCGGCCTTTGGCCCCTACTCATGTCATTAACGCGGGTTTTACGGCGGCGTGAGGAGTGAAACATTAGCCTGGAGCTGGACTGACCCTGATGTAGCAGCAGGAGATGAGCAGCAGAGGCAGGATGAAGCCCAGCAGCAGGATGGACACCTTGTAGGCGCGCCGCGACGCTCCCAGCCCGGCCTCCCAGCAGAAGGTCTTGTTCGGGGCGCTGGAGTGGCTGGTGAGCACGTAGTTTTGCGCCACCGGCACCGAACACAGCAGGGACAGGGTCCAAATGACGCACAGCCCAGCCAGCGCGTTCCTGCGGCTGCGGACGCACGCAGAGCTCTTGGAGCGAACCACGGCGATGTAGCGATCCACGGACATGGCCACCAGCGTGAGGATGCTGACCAGCATGCTGGCCGTGGTGAAGAAGTGTCCGAACTTGCAGAGGAAGGCTCCGAACACCCACTCTGGCAGGGAGTAGATGGTGGCGTGGAGCGGGACGCAGAAGAGGAGAAAGAGGAGGTCCGCCACGCTCAGGTTCACGATGAAGATGTTGGTGGGGCTGAGCGGGCGCGCGCCACCGCTGGGTTTCACCCTGCCGATCACCAGCATCACCAGGGAGTTCCCGAGAAGCCCCACCACGAAGATCAGCCCGAACACCAGCGGCACGATCACCACCTCCGGCCCGGGCTGCCCCGCGGTGCGGTTGGTCTCAGCCCGGCTGTACGACTCGTTTCCCGGCGGCACCATGCTGGAGCTCCGGGAGCCGGCTGGAGGTCAGAGCCGAGCCCAAAGCAGGTCCATGGTTCGGTCCGACACGTCCGGCAGCAAAGTCCAAGCTCAGTGAACAGCTGGAAGCGCGTCCACTTAACGGAACCGCAGAAATCTGCTTCCGGTCTGAGGCTTTCAGAGTAAAACTGCAGGTCTGAGTCGAGAACAAAGCCGGTACCAGTCCTTCTGGTTCTGTGGGCTTCAAGAACAAATATATGGGGGAAATTTCCTGCCATAATCCAAGAGCACACACTTTCAGTCTGAAAACAAGATTTCATGTCTTTTGTTCTCAAAACTTTTAATACTTTTGCTTACACACACATATCTAATATAGATAGATGGATAGATGGATAGATATCATGTCGTGACTGTCATCTTTGTTTGGGTGAACAAACTCCTGCACAGCAAATCCAGGAGGCCCAGATTAACACTGTCAGATTTGATTTCAACACTTTTAAAGTGTCTATATGGGTCCACACCAGAAAGTGTTAATTTAACTCTTTTTGGAGAGTTGGTACCTTAACTCTAATAAAGTGTCAAATATCAAATCTGCTGGAGTAAATCAATTCAGTGTTAGATCTTAATATTAACTCTCACAGAGTACTTCTTTAACTTCTTAAGAGTTATTTGTAATTAATATTAAATACGTACTGTATTGTGTTGAACTTTTAAAAATTATTTAGAAAATAAACGTTTAATAAAGAGGCAAGGATTTTCTCAAATGCATTTATTTCAAAACGTGCACCATAATTACAAAACATATTACAACGTGGAATAATGTGCATGTTTCACATGTCGCTTTTTAAAAGGTCTGAGATATCAGGTGGGCAACACAAAATGCAGTATGCTTAATACATTTTTTTTCCAAAACAATATGCATGAAATTGTTCAAAGTACAAGGTGGAGAAAGTAAAGCCTGTATCAATGCATGCAGTTCATGTAATATATGATAGAGTACATTTTCTTTTAACAGGTAGATTACCAGATATTACAGTACATAACAGACCAACCTGATATTCAGATCCATCATTTCTTATCCAGTTTCTGTTTCTGTTGATAAGAGACAGTTCCTCTCTGCACTCCACCAGAGAGATGTCCATCACTAACAGATTGTCTTCAGGTTGTTGGGCTGTTCGTGATGTTTGGCCAGAGACACCAACAAGCTCCTCTACTGCATCGGACCGTCTTCAGTCTCTGAGTACTACAGCCTGTGTCGGACTCTGGTTCATAACAAACAAAAACCAGAACAATAAGGAATGGAGCGAAGGAATACACTTTTACTACAACTCTAACAACAAGCCTCCATTACAGAAATGTGGAGTTTCACAGATATTAACACTTACATAATCATTTTTGGAGCTTGAATCTTCAAAGAATCCATGGAGGGATCAGGAGGGGGAGGTTAGGCTGGAGATTCATCCTCAACCAGACTGGTTCTAACATAACAGTGATTCTTGAGAATAGGGACAAAACAGGTCCTATGGATAAAG